AGACCCATCATCCGGCATTATTTGTGCACAAATCTGTTGCAGTTAAACTCTAAGTTATTAGTGTGAAATACAATATAATATGAATGGATAAACATAAAAAGCATATTCATGTAAATTCAGTTCTTTGTGGTGGTTTCGTGTGAATTGAAGACAATGTTTTTGGTGCAAAACAAGCTCATTCCAATGTTTTTTGTTTAAAATTGAATGTTGCAAAAAGTAGCTCTCGGACAAATTAATTTGTTAAAGTAGCTCTTGGAGACCCCTGTTCTATTGTAAAAGATCACTGTACTTGATTTGAGTTTTTCTTTTTTTTAGTCTCATTTTATTTATTTATTTTCATGATTAATAGTGTTACAGTATGTTTAACTGTACTCTACTCTGTGTTGTGTCCTTGTTTTTACATGTTCTGACATTTTATATTGTACTGTTGCCACTCAACCAGGTCGTCATTGTAAATGAGAATTGGTTCTCAGTTGACTTACCTGTTAAAATAAAGGTTTAATTATTATTATTCCTTGAATGAATACATTTCTTCCATCTTGATACATGCCAAAGTTTTAAACAAAACTCTTGATAGATCTGTTACTACTTGGAGTATGCAAYGTTGATAAACTTTAGCTTCATCTCTGTATCGGAGTTTTAGCCATTTTTGTGTTTGCTAAGAATAATCAGCTGTGGTGAACATCGTGAATTTAGTTGATTTCACAAGTTAATCTACTGTAAATATACATATAAAAATCTGTCCTTTGGTTTACGAAATACTGTACTTTGCTAACAGAAAAACAAACACAGACAAAGGCAATCACAATTTCTCATAGCAGCGGGGATAGCTACAAGATTAAAAGAATTAGGAATGATRTCAAGTTTACATGCAAAATGTTTTATTTTCCCACAAGAAATTTCCATATTTTTTATCTAAATGACCAAATGTGCACGCATCAAATTAATCAACTATTTGTAGATAATTTATTATTATGACCTCAGCACAAAAGTCAAAAAGATAAGTTAGATTGAGCCAGGGCAAAGAAYAAAGATCTTCTTAAAAAGCAGATGTTTCATAACCGTTTAGGTTTTACTATCACTTTCTCAGTCGACACAAATAATTAAAAATAACTCCTGACCACCGGTGTCGCTTCATGTTGAACTCACTTGTAAAGTTTTTTCCAGAGAAAACCAGGAACTTTGAAACCTTCGTCAAACTCGGCATCGCTTTCGTCTGTGAGCTCCTCTCCGTTCGCTCGCTTCTCCTCGCGCTCTCGAAGCCGCTGCCGCCTCCAACTCCTGGAAAGACAATGAGGAAATTATGACAAATTATTCTTCCTGTTGTATTAACAAAATCTCATAAACAATACTACTGTAAGAAAAAAAACAGTCAAAGCTGTCAGCTAAAACAGGTGTAGAGACTGCAGATGTTTTCATGTTGTGACTGTTCCCCCCTGAGCGTTTACAACATATATGGTAAATGCAAAGAAAATAGTTTTAATAGTGTAGCAGAGAGGCCAGTTAGAGGCGCAGTCGTCACGCACCAAATGAAGATTGATACAGACAATTAGTTGTACGAGTTCCCCAGAAAGGTGTGAGGTGCAAAAGATAAGAATCCATCTTCATTTGGGCCTGGTCCTGTCACCCTGCCACAAAACTGGTCCTTTAGCTGGGCCTGGGAGACCACACTCTCTAATTAAGTCAAGACTAAGCATTGGTTCAGTTAATTACACTTTTCTGCCCCCACTCCACCCTCCAACCCAACCAGAAAAGCAGCCTGCTCTAATAATATCATTCTTCATACAAGCCAAACTCACTATTCACACCATGTCTGTGCATTTGAATCGACATTCAGTCACTGTTGTGTGTAGAAAAAAAAAAGGACACATGCCAACACAATTTATTTGGCTGCTATAAATATTAAATCTCATTACGGCTGCTCTTCCATTAATTTGAGCATTAGAGAAAATGAGCGTATAAAACCATGTGCAGGAGGATAATTAGGCCAGTGCAAGAGCAGAAAGACAAGAAGAACAGGGAGTGAATTTGCTTAGTCAAGAAGCAGCTGCCAATCTCATCTGGGATTAACTCTCTTCCTGCCCTATGGAGCCAGCAAAACTGCTTTTCACCTTAAGTAAAGCAAAGAACAATAGCCTATTTTCTCCRCTGCCATTACAAATGTGATGAAAAATAAGTTTCAACGTGTTGTTTGTTAAACATTTCTAGATGTGGATTTGCGCACATTTTTTTTTCTTTTTTAAAGAACTGCTGATGAAAACTTTTTGCACCTTTCCATTCAAGCGTAATTCTTAATTTTCAGTTCACACAACCTTACCTTATTCGCTGTCTGTAGAACTCCACATCTCCGTCGTCTTTGTGCTTTCTGTCTTTTTTCCCTTCTTCCTCCTCTTCATCTGAGCTGCCAGGACAGTATTCTTCTTCACTGTCATTTTTTTTAACTTTCTTCCTCCCTCTTCCCTCAGTTTTGCCCTTGTACGGTTTTAACTCGTACTCCTCATCGTTGTCATCTCCAAAACCTTCCTCCATGGCGTCTCTCTCCTCCTGCTCAAAATCTAGCCCTTCATCGCCGGGCAGATACTCGGACCCCTCGCTGTCCGTGTCCTCCCCCTCGGCGCGTCGCCTCCTCCTTGGTTTATGGAGCTGCGGCTCGGCCTTCGGTCGAGCCTTAGGATGGGCCTTCAGAGCAGTTATCTGCAGCTTTCTAATGCGCTTCTTTAGTTTTCTATCCTTGGACGTGGAGGCAGTTTTGCTCTTTTTCCCCTTGGTGTTCTCACAGGGGCTCGGAGCTGAACTTTTCTTCCTTTTTACAAGAGGTAATTTCTTTCTTTCGGTGGCTAACTTGGCCTGGTCCGCCAAGTACTGGTCAAAGGCAGAGTTCTCAGCCAGCATCAGCTTTCGCGGCTCTTTCTTTGTCTCTTTCTGTTGTATTCGAGTCCCAAAAGGAGTCATGTGGCCTTTCCGGATCAGCTCCTCCCATTCGGTCTCCTGAGCTGGCATGAGCATGCTGCCCAGCGTGGATGGTCTCGGTTCTAGTACAGCACACACAGAGTTAGGATTTGTGTTATTCAAGAATCAGCATTTAAAAAATAAATAATATCTTCATCTACAGACGTTGTTTCACCATGTATTCATTCAAAATAAACTTAGGGCTTCTAGAAAATAATGTGGTTTTGTTTAGTTAAAAGAAATAACAGATTAAAAATAAAGACAAGTCACCTTCCTCTCCGTCATCTTCAGCCAGCAGTTCAGCTTCTACTCTCTGAACATCCTCTCCTTCCAGAATGGCCTGAAGTCGCTTCTGTTTCGCTCGGACTTTCTTCAGTTGCTTCTCCTGAATCAAATACCCCCCGCATCGTTACAGCCACTCTCTTTTCTGTGTTATTTTTAAGTAAACCAAAACAATAATCTAAACTGTTGATGTGCACAATGTTTTACCTTGTTTTCTTTCTGTCTTTTGACAGACTCGATCTTTCTACCGATGTCCTTGCTAGAGGCTGCATAGGGAGACAGCTGCTCGATGATCTTGTTGATTTGTTTCAGGGATGATGTGACAGACCTGAAATACAGGTTATGATTATCAGTAAATTTCATTTCATGACAAAAAAAATTTAGCAGAGACAGGGGTGTGATTTTCAGCAGTTTGTTTAAAACTATTTAAAATACATGCAAAAAAAACTTATCCAACTCAACTTTCTCTAGACCAGTGGTTCCCAAACTTTTTATCTTCTGACCCACAAAATATYCATGGCAAAAACTTGTGACCCCAAATATTACTGGTCTGAGTACACAAACTTTGTTAATAACCCTAAAAACACAGGCTTTTTGACAATCTACACAGCTTATACACAAATATAAATACTTATTTATACTTATTTTGTGTTTTGTAATATTTATAGGGAAAATATTACATCAGYAATTATTTTATTACCCTTTAACTTGATTTCTGGAGATTATTCAAGGTGCTTCATGACGTATAATTGGGTCCCAATCCCAACTTTGGGAACCAAAGTGCAATGGTTCCCAAACTTTTCAGCTTTTGACCCACAAAATAGTACAAAACAGTAGCAGAGACCTGTGGCCCCAACTATTTTTGGATGATAAACATTTGTGTCAGGTCAACAAAACATGGGCATAGTAACAATATTTTTATACTACATTTATCCATTTTAAATATACTAATCTCACTCATTTGTAACAACTAAGGCAAAAATGTAATTAATTCAGAAAATCTTTTCAGGACCCCACCTTGATGTTTCGGGACCCCACTTTGGGTCCCGACCCCAACTTTGGGAAACACTGCTCTAGACTATTTTGACAAAACATAAACCCGTTGTAAAGACCAATACATAAATATTTTTGCACTGGTTTTCACCTGACATCATCCAGCACTGACTGGTACTCCTTCTCAGCCTCTGCTTTGGTAGCAGCTTGAGAAGCCTCCTGGATGGCCTGGTCCACTTGTTGCAGAACACCTTGCTCGAGGACATCCTGGTCATACACAGCCACTCCAAGGCCCTGAAGCTCATCGGCTCCAGAACTGGCAGAAGCTTCTTGAATGTGCTGGCGGTTGATCTGTACCAAGGCTCCTGACCTCTTGACACCTAAATGCATCAAGGATGAAATTAGGCGACACTTTATAAAATCGCAATATCTAATGCTGTAGTCAGTTATCTCCGTTTTGTGTTGCTCAGCTCACCATTATTACTCTCTCCTGGTCCAGTGTTAGCGGGATAAGCAGCAGCTGCCTCAGAGCCCTGGTTGTTTTCAGGGAAAGTGCAGATTGCTGAGCCCCATGTAGCACCATCCTCCTCTGACACTCCAGGGGTGAGGGCAGCACTAACCGGCCTGGAGACTGAGGAGGCAGCCTGGGGTTCAGCACTTTCTACAGGCATAATGATGCACCTGTCAATCAAAAGTTCAGTTAGACCATTGTCTTCTTAAAATATTCACCGACAATGAAATAAATCACAAAGTCCCATGATTACCAAAAGGTAATCTTAACTGCAATCACGGCTAAATATTTCGAAGCTAACTACAATATTTACATTTTTTAAAACAAAGACTTTCAAAGAGGACTAATATTAAACCAATTAATTAAAAAAAAAAACCCGGTACCAACCAAATACTGCAACTGCGACTAAAAGGAATAGCACAGGAAATTACAATACTGAAAGAAACATTGAATAATGTATCAGAGGTCTTTTGTTTACGTGGCTGTGCTAACGAGCTAAGCTACCAGTGAGCCGAACATCATTAGCTTTAAACACCCGTCGTACATCTGCTTCGAATAAATTCCTAAACACAGGCCTAAAGCTGAAAATACGCACACTATCGCTACTGTTGAGAAGAAACATTGTGATTTCAACTGAGCACGGAGAACCACAATGACAGAAATCACTCACAAGAAATACAGTTACACAACATCGCCTACTTCCATTATATCATTGACCATAGACAGGCTTCTTCTTCTTCTTCTTCTTCTTCTTCTTCCGTTTAGCTTCCGGTGTTCCCTGATTTGCAATTAACTTGCTGAACAGCGCCATCTGCTGGTTGACAACAAATAAATAATGTGACCACCAGATGGCGCCACGAACCCACTTCTTCGATTTGAAAACAAACGACAAAATAATGATTATCTGAAGCATATTTTAAGCACAATTAACTTGAGAAACTACAACATAGCACTGCTTTACATAACAAAACTGACAGTGGAGTTCCTTCATCCACCACACACCAGTTTGCTAAAGTTTCTCTCTGTAAAATATTATTTCATTTTAATATTATAACGCTTACATTTCATGCACATCASAGATGTAAACAATTGCAAAGTATTAATATCTCAAAGGAAGTTTATTTCCAGTGTCTTGCAATAATAAATGGAAGACTTAATTAAAATGTCTTCTCTTCCTTGCACTGTGGTGCCTCAACAAATGAAAGCAATCGTTCCAAATTGTGTTATTTGTGTAAGCAAACATAGCTATACAAGGGGATGGATGATGCTGTCACCCTTGGCTCGTAAAATGCATAAAGATTGAAACACTGGTGAAATGTGGGTCACCTCTAGAGGAATATCTGCACAGAGATTGAGGGGGATTTTAATTTAAAACAYACTGAAAACTAATGAAATAAACCACAGTGAGGCCGTTTGATTAGTAGAAGACCCGTGGCATGCAGAACTCTGATTAGGTAACACCAAAACATATATTCGTTGTTGGTTTTTCCACGAATAGAAGATATAAAGAGCAGCAGCAAAATAAACTATCAAGCTGTGATAAATTACCTATGATGGGAATTAGTAAATGTTTTCATTTGCACAATGTTGTCATTGTGAGGTTGAACTGCAGAGAGGAATGTATGTAAACGTGTGACCATAAACTTCCATGTTTTATGTAGTTAGCCAGTTCTTGACAACTTTTATCTCTGATGAGGTGAAGATAATATTTGTGCACTGGTTGTTTTCATCACATCATAATCTGGATGAATTTCAGCAGGTTAAACTGAGCTGACAGAAACCACACGAGCTCACAGGATTTACTGGGAGGCAAAGGCTGTTAGTTTGAACTTTGGGCTTTCTTTTTGTTAGCAACCCCTGCCAATTTGTATGCAAGGGAGTTTGTAGATTTATAGGGTGTAAGAGGGTAGGGTGCAAATCCCAAAGGGGTCCAGTGGTTTTCTGTTAACACTGCTGCTCTGTGGGGCTTTGCACTGTGACAGTAGAATAACAAGCACAGCTTGATTTAAAGACAGTGTTTGTGGTTTTTGTTGAGCTAAGCTTGGTGGGCTTGTGTTTTAAAGATTTTCTGTCAAGTTAGGCTTCAGACAACRTGCTTGAATGCTTATGGGCACAAAGAGTGGTACTTTAAATGCAGCTGCACAGGTGATACGCACTGCTTGTTCTGCTATCTCCTGCACACTGATTCTTCACATATGACAACATTGTTTTAGACTGAATGGCCTTCACCGCTATCTGGTGCCAAATGAATGAACTGAGGGTGAAATTGTTTAGCTAAAACAGTTTTGAAAGACAAGGACATCAGCACAGTACAGTATTCTTTTCTTCTTTCCGCCTGCTTTTTCTAAAGAAACGCTCCTGCTTTGTTTTTTGTGGTCCACCAAGACTAAAAGCTTGATTGAAAATAGAACAAATTATCRTTAAAGAAAATATGTTCAGTAATATAAACAAGAGCAAATAAATATATGTGTCATATATATTCAGATACATATTCACTGTAAATATAGTTTTTGTAAATATTTTTAAAGCCATTTTTTAAATCATCTTTCACTTACTCTATCTTGGTTGAAATTTCACATAATGTATGATACAAAACATTTACATACACTCGCCGGCCACTTTATTAGGTACACCTGTCGAACTGCTCTTTAACACTTAATTTCCAATCAGCCAATCACATGGCGGCAACTCAGTGCATTTAGGCATGTGGACATGGTCAAGACAATCTCCTGCAGTTCAAACCGAGCATCAGTATGGGGAAGAAAGGTGATTTGAGTGCCTTTGAACGTGGCATGGTTGTTGGTTAGGGTTAGAAGAGCTGGTCTGAGTATTTCAGAAACTGCTGATCTACTGGGATTTTCACGCACAACCATCT